CTTCAACTCTCACACCTCTGGCGGCATGCATCGACTGTCAGCCATCCAACTGAAAGGATCTAGATGGCTAGTATGTGTGTGTGGGAGGGTGAATAACCTATAAACTATTTCTTTACAAAGAGCACAACCACTAGAGCAATGATGCCAGTAAAATAACAAATCCTAATAGTCACTACTTGCTCTAGCTCTAGCTCAGCCAAGCAAGCCCTTCCACAGTTCTAGTAGCAATTGGTTTCTAATCTATATCACAACAACACACAAGAGCTACTAGCTATACTAGAGAAATAAACTAGCAAAGCAACTAAAACTAGTTACTTAACAAAACAACTAATACTACTCAAGTGAGCTACTCAAGCCACTACCACACACAAGCACAAGATATGAAAGTAATGCAAGTGAGTAGTAGCAAACCAAGGAGGGCATGAGATGTACACAAGATTTATCCTTGTAGTTCGGTTGCTTGCCGCCAACTATGTTCATGTTGTGGAGAGTCTCCAAGTGATGATTCGAGCGCTAACTAGCCACTCAAGCTAGACCCACAACTTGGGCACCGCAAGAATTAAGCACAAGGTGCACTCCAACTAACCATGAGAATTCCACTAAAGTTGATCTTCGCAATCTCCCACGGGAACGAGCACAAGAGCCCCTTGCAATTGCTTGATCGGAGACGACAACAATCACCAACACCCCCTCAATGGTCTCCAATCCACTGAGCCTAAGTGGCTAGAATCACCAAGAGGAACAAGAAAACCAAGGCTCAATCGATAAACTAGTGCCACTAGATGCAAATCAACAAAGCAAACGCACTAGATCTCTTCCAATCTCACTATAGATCAATCACAAGGAGGAAGATGAGTGGGAGCTATTGTTGGAGGCTTACATAGTGTTGGAATGCTTAGAATGCCAAAAGAGCTCCCATGGAGCCGGCCAACATGCTTATATTGAGCCCCCAAAAAACTAGTCAGTGAAAACCTCCTGGTAGGCTGTAGCGTAGGCATTGGATTAGTGCAGTGCCCACCAGACTCGCACCACCGGACTAATCTCTATCGCATCTAACAACTCAGATTTAATCTAGGATTTAAACTGTGTAGTGCATAGTCGCCACTCAGTGCACACATCGGACTAATCCGGTGCACCCCTGCGCACATTATAAGTCAAACTAGCCATTATAGCCCTAGCTAACGGCTAGTGTGATGGATAATCTGGTGCTGCCAGTAGACCCCACACCAAACTAATCCTGTAATCACCAGAGAGGTCCAAATGTGTAAAACCACCACTAGATTGGTCCGATGCTTAGGACTAGATCATACTGTCAGTATGCCAAAACTAACCCCTCTGTGAACAATGCCTACATATAGTCCGACGCATGTTAGAGGGTAACCACTGGACTAATCCGATGGCCAACCCTAGCCATTGTTAAGTCCCCTGCTGCACCACTATAATCCAGTGACCACCCCCTAGGGGCACCGACTAATCTGGTGAATGACGAAAGACAACACTAAGTCACAAAACTCGCAAGCGTTCCAAATCCGCTAACTCCAATATGTTCCAACATGAACATCTTCACCTTAGGTATAGAGTTAGCTTTTTAAAAACATTTTTCACTTGCATCTCACCATGTCACTAGGTCCAATGCATATGCAAAGTTAGTTCATACCTAGTGGCACTTAGACAACCGATTAAGCATTAGAGTTCCCCTCTTATTAATAGTATGACTATCTATCATAAACCTGACCAAGCACTCTATCGTGTCTCAGCTAGTGAAAACAAAACCCCTAACATATACCTTTGCCTTCAGGCTTGTCTCCATCTCTTCATCTTCTTCTAGTGTGAGCTTGCTCGATTTGGATTGATCACCCTTCATCCATTTCCATGCCTAGCTCATCATATTGGTGTGGACTTAACCTAGCTTAATCAACATTTAGCAAAAGGTTAGTCCACTAGTTGTCACTCAATTACCAAAACCAAACAAAGGGCTTTCACCAGCACTCATCAGAAAACTCCGATGGTGTGATGAAGGCAGCATTGGAGCTTAGGCTCCATGCTTGCACTTGGGGCAATAGCTCTGCAAAAGGATTTGAATACCACCAGAAAACTCTAGTGATGATCAAGGGGAAGCACCAAAGAAAGCGGGTAGCCCTGGGACCTAGAGTTTCTATAGAAGGCTTCGAAGCCATCAGATTCCTCTAGTAATCACCTGATAGGAAGCTCGGGAGAAAGGAGCTCCAATGGTCCACAACAGTTAGCCTCTAATGGCTCGTCATGTGGCACCACTAAAATTCTCTGGTGGTAGGCACTAGACTTTCCTATGTTCTCTATCTAAGAGCAGCAAGCCACCAACAACTATATTTGATGGAGAAGGCTATATATACCCCCTTGGCCAACCATTTGAAGGTTGTTAGAGTTTGTTGAAGTTGCTAGGGAGTTGAGGCTCCATTCCAAATGCTCTAGCCACCAAGTGTTTAAGGAAATATTACATGATTAGTGTAGTGCTCTGCGAAATGTTGAGGCTAGTTAGACCATCAAGTTGGCACTTTGCTATAGGCTTAGGTTTAGTGTTTAGTGAGCTTTGCACACCCCTTGTCACTTAGTGCTTGCACGCACCATCGCATGTACATGTTGATGGTCCTTAACTCCTAAAATAAATCATCAATTCTTGCATAAAAAGAAATAAAAAATCACATCCAACATAGTGATAGGACTTAACGATAATTATCTCCACAAGTGTTGGTAGATATTTGTATGCAGGTATACTTTGGCCAAACTAGAACAAATATATATGGTGAAATACAATTTTGGGCCAATTAGAAGCACACACAAGGATCCAGGGACCCATAACCAAAGCCACACTACCCAACTTAAGGTGGTGCAGCAGGATCCATGACCATGGCCCATAGGGGAACAACCTCACTAAAGATGGGCCGAAGAGCCAAAACTTTGGTATAGCTGCCCCTGGGCCCCAAGGCGGTTCCACCAAAACCTCCCACGTAGCAGAATCTGCCTAATCATTGCAGGCATCTTGGGACCACTTCTTGGAGTGCAATTGGAGCATCCACATCAAGGGAGGCAGATCTAATGGTTTGACCAAACCTGGATCCAATGGCAGTTCGACCAAACTCTCGTGGCGTTTTCCCACCACCATCTTCATACCATCACCCCTAGGGTCCTCCTCACCTATAAAAGGGGCGCATGTCACCCTCATTTGACACACAAGAGGAGTAACACAAGCTCCACTACAAGGCATATCACTACTTTATTGCTTAGTATATATATAGAGAGAGAGTGAGGGAGAGTTCGAGAGGAGTGTTAGGCTTGTCGGCATCTTTTCCAACTTGTGCCTCAATGGGTGCAACCTCCCCGAGTGTGTAGCCGGGATTTCTATATGGTAATTGAGCTCTAGCTAAGAATTGTTCTCTATTTTCTTACATGATCATCTCTTTATCGAGTGCTCTAGTTTTTTGGCCGAGGTTAGAGTAGTAATCTACAGTATAGACATGGTGTCTAGGCTATTGTCTGTCGTGTGCCCATTGGTTGTAGAGGTAGGCGACAGGTGGTGACAGCCCTGTCCGTCCTTTGTAATCCACAAGATTCAGGTACATTGTAGAGCTATAGGTTGGCACGACCCAACAGACTGGGTGGATGGTGGTGCCTAAAGTAAGAGAATATAGTTCGTTCTTACCTTATCTTAGGTTCATATCCCATAGGTCCCCTCTCTACCCTCGCCTATCTTATTCTTGTTGGCCTTGGATGAACCTGTGTGTAATAGTTTACTTACATGTTCACTGCTGATTCGATAACCTTGGAATACTCCTAGGTGAAAGCCACTTTAGTATTTGTGCGCTTGTTGATTTATGTGCGATCGTTACTTATACCAACAATACACTATGGGCTTTGTAGTCTTGCAAGATCACACCAACCACATTTGTGGTGTGTCCATCTAGATTGTACTTCGGGAACGAGTGTGACACGCAACATTTTGGCTGGAAACTCGATAGCGAAGATGAAGAGGAGTGGTCTAGGAGAAGGCCCTATGGAGACCCACTTGCGCAAGCTCTACGAAGTTACCCGACTGGGAGCTTGGCCCTTGCAAGGAGCTCCAACGAAGACTAGGGAAGCGTGAGCTTTTCAATACCTCGTGAAAAACGTCAACATGAGTTTGCATCTTTATCTCATTTAAGCTTCCGCACTTACATTTCTTTCCTAGATTGTGCGCTTTTACATTCCTAGTTTAGCTTGCTAGATTACTGATAGGATTGGAAACTAGGGTGAAAACTCTTTTCAACACTTAGAAAAACCTAGTTGCACATATATTTAGATAGAAATCTTGCATAGATTTTGTTTAGTAGAAAATAGAGGCCAAATAGTTTTTAGAAAGACTAATTTGCCCTCTCTTAGGCATCATGGTCACTTCAATTGGTATCAGTGTCTTTTGCTCAATGTGAACCTTTGGCTTAACTGCCAGAGCTAAACGTTATTTAGAGTAGGAAGGATGGACACCCATAGGCCTCCGCACTTTGATGGCACGTACTTCGCCTATCGGTGTGCTAGAATAGATTATACCTTGAAACAGTAGACTTGGACGTTTACAGAATCAATAGGGACGGGATGAAACCCTTTTAAAATTCCAAGAAACCAACCTCTAGTGCCAAGAAAGAAATCCTCAACCCTCTTGCTGGAATTTCTTTTATATACTTTATATTAGGTTAAGAAAAATATACCAATTAGTATTTAGTATATACTTTGTAACCAAAATAAAGGCCAAATTTGCATCATATGAAATTTAGGGAAATCAAAAATTCGATACTAAAGATGGTGCATATAAGTCATATACTCATATTCAAATGGGTATGGCAATTTTGAATTTTTCATGCCATGTCATGATGTAATAAAGTGTCCAATTTATTATCATGGTTTTCTCACCAAGTTTATAGCAGCCTAACTATAATAAATAGATAATGATTAATTTCCCAGCATGTGACTGATGGCAGAAGCTTGAAATTTTATTCCTCAGAAGATGATATGGCTATCCCCTTCATTTTTTTCGCTATAGGATCAGTGAGTTCAACACCATCGTCGTCACTGTCGGAGTCGCTAGGAATCTCCACAACAAGTCGATGGCGCTGTGCCTTGCTTGTTGGCACGTTCTTCACGACTTCATACTTCAGACATTTCTTATCATCACAAGCATCAATAATGACCGCAGTATCTGCATCAATTTCTCCTTTAAAAAGCATCTCAGAGAGCTTTGTCATCACATTCTTTTGCAACCACCTCCTGATTGGCCTTGCACCATAATGCTGCAAAGAATATTGGACATGAACGGTGTAAATTGCAACATTCCCTATGTATGTATGTATGTTATAAGAAAGCCAGCTGGCCTCTTCATGCAAGGATGTTAGTAGCAAGGAGTGCTATAGTCGTCTGACTCTGACAAGACGACATCCAAAGCAGCATCGCTTGCGGATAGAGTGATGCCCTTATTTGCTGCACGAGCAATGATGCCTTTCATATGAATGTTAGCAACCTTTCTCCTTTTATCCTGGGATAGTGGCTCAAATACCACAAGCTCGCTCAGCCTGTTCAGGAACTCAGGTCTGAAATGTTTCTGTGCCTGCAGGGACCAATAATGTCATCATTTGAAAGAACTTATTGATTTAACATTCAGGACAAGGGATTGCAAACCTGCTTAATGACAAGGTCACGTGCAGCCTCCATTGTTTTTTCACCAGATATTGCTTCCATTAGGTACTCAGCTCCAAGATTTGAAGTCATAATGATGGTGGTATTTTTAAAATCAACAGTTCTGCCTTTACCATCAGTCAACAAACCATCATCAAGAAGCTGGAGAAAAACATTAAACACTGCTGGATCGGCCTTCTCAATTTCATCGAAAAGAATTACACTGTATGGCTGTTGCCTGACTTTCTCGGTTAGCTGTCCTCCATCCTGATGTCCATGATAGCTTCAAGCGACAAAAAGTGAGTATAAATAAAGGTCAAGCGGAAGCCAAGTGAATCTTGCATAATAAGTTGCACAGATCGGAAAAACATGAAGCGAGTAAGACTTATAGCTGAAAGTGGAGTGGTAATGAAATGATACAAAACCTGGGAGGTGCCCCAATGAGACGTAGCACTGAGTGAGTGCCAACAAATTCAGACATGTCAAACCGCTGTCAAACAGCTGTTCCGCAAGAGCCTTTGCAAGTTCTGTCTTCCCAACACCAGTTGATCCCAAGAAAAGAAAAGAGCCTATTGGTTGGCCAGGTTGATCCAGACCAGCCCTTGACCTTAGCACAGCTTGTGCTACTGAATTAACTGCTGCGTCCTGGCCAACAACTCGCTCACGCAATCTATCAGCCAGGTGCATTAACCTTTCCTTCTCATCCTGGTCAAGTGTATTGACAGGAATGCTAGTCCATCGACTCACAACCTGGTCAAGTGTATTGACAAGTTAATACACTACTTCCTCTTATTCCAAATATGTCATTTAGGACGGCATCACGGTCTCCGTTATGACACTAGATTTTCTTTTTGTAAAAATATACTGTTTCAAATAGACAATTAATATATATGAAGCAAATGATATCAACCATGTGTTGTTAATCTATATAATGTTTCATATATTGATAGCTCAAGTTAATTATGTAAGTTTTCTAGAATCCTATCCTAGAACGACCTACATTTGGAATCCGAAGAAGTATATTTTGTCAATCAGTGGGCACAAAATTACTCCCACATACAGATTGAAGTTAATCTACCATATACATTAGCCAATAACAAAAACATATGCAGTTGTATCAAGTTGCAGAGACAAGTTCAGTCTAATGTTTTCGAAAAAAAAAAGTTCAGTCTAATGCATAACAAACTGTGAAGTCATAAACATACCCACACATAAAACAAACGCAGCAAATTTGGTTCCTTCTACACCTCACAAGATCATGTGCCAGTACATCTTAGACAATTCTCTAACCATCATTATTTTGTAAGCAAGTCCTAGAGTTACACTCCAAAAAGAACAGAGGAAAAGCTTGACCAGTTAGTGTTAAACTGATCTTATGGCTAAAAGTAACAAGTAAAAGTTTCATTTTAGAGGCCATGAGAAATTAAAAATGTCAAGCTAAGACAAGACACATGGAAAATTAGCCACATTTAAATATATCTAGTCAATTCTACATTCTCCCTATCCTAATGTATTTTCGTATATTCCTCACTCCATATATCAACCTTATTTCTACCTGAAAAATAAACAATTCCCCAGCAAGACACGCAATACTAGAGATTAGACTTTTTATATATAGCACAGAAAATTTAAAAGAAATGCACAAGCTGTAAAATATTTGTTGATACGGCTGTATAATCCAGAACATGGTATTCAAGTGCCATACCTCTGCAATTTGGCCTGGTGAAACAGCTTGGTTCGCGACATTTTCAGGGAGAAGATGTGTTGTACTTCCTTTCAATATGTTATCTCTTTGCATCCTTGCAGTGGCACATGCTTCATCAATAAGATCAATTGCCTTATCAGGAAATTGGCGACCTTCAAAAACATTAACAGAACCCATCAACATATGTAATAACACCAATGGATATGGATTGTGTATAGTACTCCATCTGTTCCAAATTATAAGTCGCTTTAACATTTTTGATACATCTATTTTGCTATGCATCTAGATATAATATATGTCTAGATGCATAGCAAAATGGATGTACAAAAAAAGTCAAAGCAACTTATAATTTGGAACGGAGGGAGTATTATATATCTGTATATGACATAAGGGGTGTTTAGATGCTTTTGGAATGGCAAAACTTTTGCCCCTAATCTTTTGCTGCAAAACTTTTGCCATTTAAACTTTTGTCATTTGGTGTTTAGATGCATGGCAAAACTTTAGCCATGCAGACACAACACGCGCCCCCAAGACATTTTTTCCCTAGTTTTGGGCCTCTTGGGTCCCAAATGCCAAAAGTTTTGCAGCTCAAGTTTTGCTGTTTTTGCCTATGATGTTTAGATACATTTTGCCAAAAGATGGGATAAAACAGCAAAAGTTTTGGCCAAAATGGGGAACTAAACATGCCCATAGAACCGTATTACAGACAAGAACCATTGTTGTATGCCCTATGGAAGATTATCCCAATCCCAATGTCTCATTAAGTTCAAAGAAAAATGGTGATCATTTAGTCCAACATTTTTTTAACACACTCACAATCACATATTGTTGAACAGAATATCCATTCACAGCAATAAGGTATCTTGTCAACAAATATACATGTGATCAGTCAAATTCAATTATGCGAGAGCTGAAGCAAAATGGCAGATATAACCGAAATTAGAGATGAAACCATGTTTTGTGGTGATCACTATATGGTTAATTAATTAGTTATCATAATCCACGGTAAGAAATAAGACGCTACTCTGTACGAGTTTGAGATCAACTGTCAACAGCGATAATTATTAAGCTGTCTGAACTTCTATCACGGCGTCACATCCGGCTAGAGAAAGCCTATTTTCTTGGACAACCATTAATCAATATTAAATCGTAACAATATAGTTTTACATGTTGATTTTGTTGGCATAAACAGCAAAATTGTGTTCTGACTTCTGACTCAGATTTAGAGTGGTCCTGTTTATTAATGGGCTTACTTGTAGGTCGAGTTTGTAGATCTGACCAAGTTCAATTCTCTATTTTTTTGGTCTAAATTTGAAACATAATGGCCAACCCAAACACCATTGGATCCAGGGATAACCAGGTCAAAGAATTATTGAGCTAGAGCTCTAAAAGATAGGGCCCAATAGTGAGGGAAATTCTTTTTGTGGTTTTGTCCATTTTATCACAATCATATCTACTCAGAACTCATAAATTAATTCCAAATAGTGGGCAAGCAAGTGATATAGAACTTAAATATGCAATTATGTTTATAGAGGGTTGTCCATTATATTGCATCTTGAAATTCTGTTTGTGGTTTGTCAATTTTATAGAGAAACATAAATCTGCCAAATTCAGTAGTGGGCAAGCAAGTGATGAAGTGAGCGTACCTGTAATGTACCGATTGGCAAGCTGGGCAGCTGCTACTATGGCCGCGTCCTGGATTGCAGCGCCATGGTGCTCTTCATACTTCTTTTTGAGGCCCTGAAGAATGTCAATTGTCGCCAGAACGCTTGGCTCCTGCACGTGCACCTTCTGGAACCGTCGCTCAAACGCAGCATCCTTCTCAACATACTTACGGTGCTCATCGAACGTCGTGGCGCCAATGCAGCGGATGCGGCCACGAGCCAGAGCAGGCTTCAGCAGATTGGCACCATCCATTGATCCACCCTTGGTCTGCCCAGCGCCAAGTAGCATATGCACCTCGTCGATGAACAGCACGACCTTGCCGTTAGCAGCCTCCGCCTGCTGGATCACCTTCTTCATGCGCTCCTCGAACATGCCGCGGTACTGGGTCCCGGCAACCATCGCGCCGAGGTCGACCTCCACGACACGCGCCCCAACGAGCGGGGAGGGGACCGCCCCTGCCGCGATGCGCTGCGCCAGGCCCTCGGCGATGGCCGTCTTGCCGACCCCGGGAGCGCCGACGAGCATGGCGCTGTTCTTGGTCCGGCGGCAGAGGATGCAGACGACGCGGTCGATCTCGTCGTCGCGGCCGATCACTGGGTCCATCTTGCCGGCCTCAGCTGTCATGTCCCGACCGTACTTCTCCGAAGTCGCGTACTTCCCCAAAGGCGCCGCCTTTGGAGTGGATGCGGATCTTCCGGCGAGGCCCTCCGTCGACAAAACGCTCGCGTACTTCCCCAAAGGCGCCGCCTTTGGAGCGGATGCAGATCTTCCGGCGAGGCCCTCCATCGACAAAACGCCAGATGATGGACGCACAGAACCAAGTAGCGCAGCCGTAGAGCGCCGCGGCCTCATCAAACGCAAATAAGAGGACGACGCCCTGGGCACGACACCGGTGACCGGCGGGGCTGCTCGCCCCCACGTTCGGCGGCACGCTGGGTGCCGGGGCCGCGGAGGCTGCGGCAGAGACCGGTGGCGGAGGCACCGTCCCTGCGGCCGGACACGCGTTGGGCGGCGTAGCGGTGGCAGAGGCCATGGGCCCGTTCAAGACAACCGGATCTAACCTCTTTGCTGCCTGGGAAACGTGGCCGTGGCGCACCGGGTTGACGGCGGCGGTGGACGACGAGACGGCTGTGCAGCGGCGCTTTCCTGGCAAGAGCGGGGCCTCGTACGCCAGCCAGTGGTCATCGTCGGAGTCGAGGCGGCTGCCGCCGGCACGGCAGCGGAAGTCGGAGAAGTCGTCGTAGTAGTCGAAGGAGTCGCGCTCGCGCTTAACCCACTTGCGCCGCCTCAAGAGGCGCCCGGTGGCGGCGGTGGAGTCATCGATATGGTAGCATCGAGCGCCGAAGCCACCGTCCATGTCGATGTCGCGTCGGATGGTGTCCTCCAGGCGCGATTCGACGGACGACGGGGTGTCGCGGCTGCGATGATATGTTGCGGCGAGTGCGGTATATATAATGGCGGATGCGGTATTTTAGGAATTATAGAGACTAAGACCATGTCTGGTTCTGAGCTCTAAAATTTTACCTAGTAAAAGTTTTAGGTATCATTCTAAAATTTTTTAAAAAAATGTTTGGTTTCACTTTTTAAAGCTGACTAAAAATAATAAATGCACTGACAAAAATATCATGCAGCCCTCCTCCTTACCCCTCCTTCTTGCATGCGCCTGCATGGCGCGCCCCTGGTCACCTCCTTGTATTGCTAGCGTGCCACCTCTTGCTGGCGCCGTTTTTTGTTGTTGCTGACGGCCAAATATGTTTATTCCATTCAATAAAAAAGTCCATACAAATATTTACACTCATACAATTGGAAAGAAGTGTCCATACATCATCCATACAAACAATTCAACACATCAATAAAATCACCATTACAAGTTGACATCTACGATCTACTAAACAACCCATCGGCTATCTAATCACGGAACTCATTCATGTTTACATCTTCGTCTCCGTGACGTACATTTGACACATTACCACCGGAGGATTCTTCGGCGAATGGAACATAGTTCTCATCATGATCAACCAAATCAAAGTCCACATCTCTCAAAAAACTATCCCTAATAAAATTATGTATTGCCATGCACGCAATAATTATATGGCTTTGCTTTAAAGAGAGGGTATTTAGTTCTTTAGGCAAACTTTATCTAGATTTTAGCTCCTAAAATTTTTAGAAGAGGTAACTAAACATGGCCTAATTAAAAGTAGTAATCCGTTACTATCGGAATTCTGTGAGACAGATTCAACGTATCCGTTACTACCAGGGCGTCCCAAACGGTGGAGAAATAGCGCGCTAAGACACTCGCTAGTCTTGCACACAGCCCAAGAAGCATCCTCTCTCAGCTATCAGCCTGTTCGGTTGGCTGGTTCGTTTCGTTACTGGTTTGTGAAGAAGTACTACTGGTTGGTTTGTGTGAGAGAAAAATACTGTTCCGGCTGAAAATTTACGATCGTTTACGACAAGCCACAGCCAAACGAACGGACTTAATGTCTTGCACACACCTGCGCTCTCAAATTTTTTTCTTTTGTTTATTGATTTCATTCAAAGCCTCCGGCTCAGCTGGCGATCACGAGACTCAGGTATTGTAAAAAGTTAAGTGCACCACAGGAGTTTCGCTCAGGTCGATCAATTCTAAAAGTTGATTTCTCGGTCATAAACTTATTAAGTGGTTGGGTGTTCGGCTGGTAGCTTATTCCACTGTAGTTCGGTTGATTTCGATGATTCAATAGTATTCTGTGAGAGAGAATAAGCTGAAACAATCCAAGACAAGATCAGCCGAACACCCCCATATACTCATTCGTTTAGCCCTTAGATTTAACTCTGTATCCATAAACTTTTTAAGTGATTTACTGTAGATCCATACCTCTTCGTTTGCCCCGTAGATCTGACATATCATGTGAATTCGATAGTCTGCATGACATGAAAATGATGGGTTTATAATTTGTCCAGTGGATGCCAACAATGGGCTGGCCATTGTGTCAAAAAAAACAATGGGCTGGCCATGAGTGTGCCCAGCGGCGGTAGAAAATAAGGCGACGACAAAAAAGTAGGTCCGGCGTAGACTTGCCCCAAATGTGTGCGCACGGGGACTAGGAAACCATGGTGGACTCAACCGCGCACTCGTTGAAGCAATGACGGCCTACACGAGTGGGAACGGCGGCGCACGTGAGTTCAAAGCTCAACCATGAAAGCTGCCGTATGATGGGTTGGGAGCTCTGACACCGTATCTGTGTGTCCAACAAGCACAAATGGAAGAGAACGCAAATACGGACTCAGCAAAGCTCATTTCTATGATAGAGGCAAAGCACAAGCCGAGGAACAACGTTGATTTTAAGAGCTCGTTGACTGGTAATGGTGGTGGCGAGCACTGAAATAGAGAGAGCACAGGCACAGATGTTAGACTTGAGAGAGTGCAAAGGAGAGCATCATGGTCGGGGCTTAAGCATGAGCTTAGCGAATTTAATGGGAAAAAGTCTACGTAACCTCCAACTATTTAGGGTGGACTACTTCACCCCAAAATTATAAAACCAGATTTTTTTTACCCCTGAACTTTTCCAAACCGGTCAAATAACCCCCAAGTAGTTTTGAATGGTGGTTTTGCTACCGTGACAGTGGTTTTGTCTTTTTCTTTTTTATTTATTTCCGCTGAATCTTTAAAAAATCACAGTAAATCACAAAAAATCATAAAATAGAAAATCCAATTTTGTTCGACTCCACATGAGTAGATCTACACAGTGAACATCTAATATGGTATGTTTTAGTATAAAGTTTTTGCTGTAGCTTTAGATATATGCTTTTCTGTAATTAAATAGAATAATTCATAGCTGCAGCTTTTATGGTCCAATTTTGGTGAAATTTTTATGATGGACTAACTATTGTATGCTTGAATTATAGTAAAAATTACATACTCATTGGATCACGTATAACTTAGTTATACATAAAATCTATAACTAAGTTATACGTGATCCAATGAGTATGAAATTTTTACTACAGTTCAAGCATACAATAATTAGTCCACCATAAAAATTTCACCATAATTAGACTATAGAAGCTGCAGTTATGAATTAATTATATAAAAACAAAGATCTAAAGTTACAACAAAAACTTTGTACTAAAACATACCATATTATAATGTTCACTGTGTAGATCTACTCATGTGGAGTCCAATAAAATTTGATTTTCTATTTTATTATTTTTATGTGATTAACTATGATTTATCAAAGATTCAGCCGAAATAAATAAAAAAGAAAAAGGCAAAACTACCGTTCAAAACCACTTGGGAGGGTTATTTGACCGGTTTTGAAAAGTTCAGAGGGTAGAAAATCCAGTTTTATAATTTGGAGAGTAAAGTAGTCCACCCTGAATAGTTAGGGTTTATGTATACTTTTTCCAATTTCATGCCATGTTGCCGGGCTGACTCCACATGCCACGTTAAATCTAAGGCCCAGATGAAGGGGTATGGATGGGGTGAACTGCTTTAAAAGTTTATGAATCCAAAAGTTTAATTCAAGGGCCAAACAAAGAGTTATGGACCTGTGGTGAACCATTTAGAAAGCTTATAGGCCATAAATTAACTTTTAGAGTTGATGGACCTAATAAAAACCCTGCATAATTTAATGGACCTTTCGTGCATTTAATTATTGTAAAAAATGTTTCTATAGTTAGAGCATCTCCAATAGTTCCTAAAAAATCAATTGGTAAATCAATGAGTTCTTCGTACGGCTAAAAAATGTTGGGAGCACATTTATTGAGTTTCTCCAACAGTTTCAAAAATCTAGCCCCTAAAATATAGGAGACAATTTTGCATCAACAACCCCAAACTATTTCCAAATAATGCTAATCACTTTTATACTTTTTTTCTCTTGCACATTTGTATTGGAAATCCTGTTCTACTCTTTATTCTTCCCCACATCCTTCCACTTTCAAATTGGCCAATCGATGCGTGCACGTATATTTCCATGCGATCAGGTCAATTTTCCCAAGTATGAAAAGATTGAGAGTTAATATAGGGAGTTCAAAGAGTAGTTTTTTTTTCAATCTTGCCAAAAAAATCAAGATTAGAAGTGGGTTTTGGAAAATCTTATAAATGCTTTTATATAAGCACTTCAACTATATATATTTTAGATGTATCAATGTTGTTGTTCACGTAATAGGTAATTTTATTATTATTTAATAATTATAAAAAATGTGAACTATCTTATAAGTTGTCCTTTTTAATGGTACTATAGTGGGTTGTATAAGATTGTCAACTAAAACTATCTAAAAATTTAGGCAGCTGAAATATAACGACTTCTACAGTTGAAGGAAAGGTTATATGTGAAATTTGTTTTACACCATAATCTATCCTAAAATTCCTAAAATGCTTTGTATTTCAGGAACGAGGGAGCAGGAGTATCATTATATTGAACCCTGAGTACCCTCATCATGGGGGAAAAATGTCCAAATGGGATGAGGTGCAGCGAGCAGGCTACACAAGAGGCCTAAGCGGGATGGGTACCTCATCTATTTAGTGGACAAGTCATGGCAAGATGTACTTAGAAACAAATTGTATTTGACTAGATTTTCTTGTAACAAACTAGAAAACGACATGTAAATCGATTATGACTCTATCTATAACCTTATCCCCCTACTATATAAGGAGGGATAGTGTCGGTGTTTTGTAAACCGGACTAGTAGATTTATACGATTGTCCCGCTGCTCTAGGAAGACGATGGTACTATCCAAAAGATACGAGGGTTTATACTGGTTTAGGCCGGAGCCCTACGCCCAGTCTAAGAGATGACCGAGTGTGTGTTCCTCGCTTGAATGCTCTGAAGTTCTTACAATAGAAGTGCAAGAATGGTGGAAGAGGTGTTGGAGAGCTAGAGCTATGAGGTGGACTGCCGGAAGGGAAGCTCTCAGGATCCCTACTACGATGAAGAATGAGTTAAATAGTAGAGGATGTCGAGATGGGTCCCCTGGCTGCCCTTATATAGAGTTCGGGGTCAGGGCGTGTACAACGGAGGAGGTTCTCCCGACCGAAGAGTCATGAGCCTGAGGGAGGTCCTAGCTAACTTGGCTTGCAAGCTACGTCGTCTTGTGGAGCACGTCCGGACGTGGTTGTCGTCATGGTCCTATGGCCACGTCGCGGCGTGGTGCTACTGTGCCGGCCGTAACGGCACTGTAGGCACAGTGATGGTTCACCAATCGTCCTATGCGATGTGGTCTTCGTCATTGCCTCCTGGTTTCCTAGGGCATCGTACAAGAGTTGGTAGCCGCCCCTGGATCGTCGACCGCCTTATTGGTTTGAGGAGCTAAGGGCCACAATCCCGATCGTGAGGGTCAAGGCCTTCATCATGGATCACATCCCGCGGTGGGTAGAAT